CTGGTAAATGTGATAAAACGCCGGGGCGAATCGCGTGCTCCTGTCGAGGAGGGAACCAACAGCTGGTTACGCGCTCGTATTCGCCATTTAGTTATTGCAGGAAGCGTGGGGAAGTGGTTTTTGGGTGAAACGGTGCGGTATTTACAACAGGCCGTTTTATACGCGATAAGAAGACGTTAATTAAAATAATAAGCAACTTGGACTACGATAAAGTTGCATTATCGGTGCAAGATGTGTTCGGAAACGATGACTGGTTGCAAGTTGAAAGGGACGTTCCTCCCTTGTGGAAGAGGGGGGAAGAAAAGGTGGAGAGATTCGAAGCGGAGAATGCCCGAGTAAATTTTATCGAAGGATTCCGTGCCCACACGGGGCCTATCGAGGCACGAATCGACCTTAAATTACTCGTGGTTCCCGAGTCCTCGTCGTCGAACTTTTGAGTCACACCCGGCCTGCCGTCCGGATAATGGCGTCGCCGCGGAGAGAAAGAGAGATAACTTAGAGAAACGCGACGATTTCCATGGATACGGGAGCGAGTGAAAGAGAGAAAGAGAGATACAGACTCGGTAAAGTCTCAAATCGGCCCGCACCCTTCTGCCAGCAGAATTTACGATTGTCCACGCGAAAGCGTAGGTAATCGTCGATGATATCACCGTTATAAATAGGCACGCCTCCTGTCTCTCGTATATTTATACTCGCACACAGCCCTGCACCTACCTGTCCGCACGAATATTCGCGCGCGTACACGGCTCTCTCCTTCTCTCTCCCTCCCTCTCTCTGCTGAGAGAGCATGGGTGTATTACCACGAGTCCGGAGAGCGCGATCACGCGCGTGTTCGCGACACACACGTGCACAGGTGTGCGTTAGCCGAGAAGGTGCGCGCAACTTGTCTCCGAACAGTGACGTCGGAATTACGGGGGCACCGGCCCACCATGTACTTTTCACGCGGGAAAACTGAACGCGGGAACGCGGTGTTCTGGATATTTCGCATTGTGACTCCGATTCTTTAGCCGCGGAGGCGGGAATATCGTGGTGAGAACGTGGAAGGACGTGGAGGACGAAAGTTGCGGTATTTATTACAATTTCGTATGACGCAAATTGCCCATTACACGGCAGGAAAATCGGTACAGAGTTACAGTTCCACGACGTCAATGTCAAATTGATCAAAAATTGCTATAAATTGCACAGATCGTATCAAAAATGTAAGCAAAAATACTAGCAAGGACAGGGCGAGTGTCGACAGAATTTTTACCACAGTCCAACGTACCGTAAGCTTCTCGAGACGTTGGAAAAAATGACGTCGACGCCACTGTCGACAGGTACGCGGTCCGCGAGCGTCTCTCGTTCCTGGTCGTGTGCGTGAGGAGAGCGCGGCTCGGTTCGTCCGCTGGCAAAAAGTAATTGCAGAAAAAGGCGGCCGATAAACGCGACAAAATGACGTTCTAAAGACTGCGGCCGGTGGTCCGCGGCTTTAACGAGGCCTGTCGCTCGAGATCTACCTGCGGCTACGATTCGTCCCTTCGACGACGTGAACCGAAACGACAAAGTAGATGGAAGGGTAAAAGAAGGAGAAGAACGAGAGGAAGGAGGAATGGACGCGGAACAAACGCGCCGCGGGGGGTTCATCCGCGTCTCCGCCTCGACGTATTTATACGTCGATCGATCGTGCTCGCGTCGCGTCGCGTGCTGCGGGGGATAACGTATGCGAACGCGGTAAAAAGCAACCGAAGCGGCTCGTTTGCCCGAGGTGAAATCAATTTTCGGCCCGAAGCTCGCTCGCGTCTCGTAGCGCGGAGAGGATCGGTTGCGTGTAAGTCCTGGCCAGCGCGGCGTCGAGCAGCGTCGACTATACTCGAGGCTCTCGTGATGAGTTATTGCTGGCCACTCGCTGTATTGTTGTTCGACGGTGTTGCTCGAACCGATGTCGGGACGATGTTACGTCCAGCTCTCGCCGGTGGTCGGTATAACTTTCTTGCTGCCGCGACCGGTCGCTCGATATTAACCATTTCGGTGCTAGCGACGCTTCTACTGCGGTACGATTTTTGTAGACATTCGTTCTGTGATATGCGATCGGTGAAGGAGGCTCGTGTGTTTTTAAACGAGTGGAAATGTATTTTACGAAAAATTAGAAGGAAGATTTGTTCCAAACTACATTGAGCTCTCGAGTATTTTACACACCGAAGGCGTTAATCTTGCTCTTTTTATGGATTTTACGAGGTAAACCAGAAAGGAATTAATTTTACAGAGTAAACTGAAGGAAATGAGGAATTCTCGTTTTTGAGGAAACTAGAATTCCCAAATTTACGTAAGAAATTAGGTTCAGCTCCGGGGTATTTTACACACCGAAGGGGTTAACCTTCTTCTCTTCGTGGATTTCATAAGGTAAACTAGAAACGAATAAATTTTATAGAGCAAATTGTAGGAAATGGAGGAAATCTTCCTTCTGAATTCCCAAATGTACGTCATAAATTACATTCACCTCCAGAGTATTTTACACACTGAAGGGGTTAACCTCATACTCCCTACGAATTTCAGGTAAACCAAAATTCCGAAATCTCCCTTTGACCGAAATAATAAATGTTAAATTGGAGGAAAACCGAATTCCCAAATCTCCTTTAACCGAAAGGTCCACGTTATTACAGCGGTGGAAGCACAGCGGAGGTGTTATCGCGAGGCGAAGCAGCGGAAGTGACATGTAAAGAGGCCGCCAGGCAGTAACATCCAGAGACTGAGAATCGTGGATGGAAATGGTCGGTAACGAGCGAGTGATTACACGGGCAGCGATGGAGAATAATGGCACGAAGGGCACGTTAAAGAGGAGGATATAGAATTATAGGCGCCCTCGACTCGCGGATACGCGGCCTAACAGCCCGGGATAACTGCAACGCCGAGTTGCACGCAACTCTGTTGCACGATTACAGGCCGTCTCGCATAATAACCGAGGCAGCTCGAGCTCAGCCAGCCACCGATCGGAAGCGAACGTCGTCGCACACGGCGGACCGTTAGCCGTTTTCATCGGTTATTCCGGACGTCGAGACCGACACTTCCTCCTCCGCGCGCGCTGGAAGCCAAGATCGATCGACGCTTATCGGGGGCGTGGACGTGCCCGCGGTGCAACGGGAAGCTTTGGCTGGTTTGTACCGGTTATTCGCGAGATTGGCGAATCTCGACGCACGAGCGTGCAAAATTAATTAAGATTGTCTGTTTGCGAAAGAGATAGAATTTTATCGGTTTCGTTAGGTTTGTGAATTTCGTCGTTCTTCGAGCACTTAGATATTGCAAAAGAGACAGAATTTTATTAATTTCATCGTTTGTCGAGCAGTTAGACGTTGCAAAATCGATAGAGTTTCGGTGTTTTCGCGGTACTGGGCATGATCAGTGCTGGATACTGTCAATCCATAGAATTTTAGAGTTTTCACTGTTGTTCTAATACGGTTTATTCAACGAATCTCACAATTTACTTGTCTTTCAACATAATCTTCAGCTGCAATTGTGCATCGACTTCATTTTTCTTGCAAATTAAACGGGACAGGGGAGCATTCTTTTACAGTGCAACAAAGTTTTTGCAAGGACTGCTAGAAAGACAAGGGAGTGTCTTTTTTAAAGGAAGGGGTTACTAATTCTTTGTTATTCAGACACCTTTCTATCTACTTGAAGAGTTTTTCTTTATTCTGAATCTTTTACCTAATGCGCAACGAATTTATGATTTCCAAAGCATCGTACTTCTCACTTAGATAAATTTCACCCTCTTGAAACTAGCACAAAGTGTAAAACATCGAACACACCCCCGCGCTAAACAAAACACAATAATTCCTCCAGCAAATTCTCACTTTCACGTGAATTCTTTCCGCGAAAAAGAAAACAGCCCCGTGCCCCCTTCTCATTAATATACAAAAAAATCCCAACATCTGGTCCGCCCATTCCACTCGCCGACCCCGCAAAAACGTTAATTCCCCGCGAGAATATAAAGCTCGATCGCTCGCGATAAAATTCGCGGTACGCGGGCGTCGATCTTCCGTTACGATCGGCGATAGGTACGCAACGTTCACGACTGTCGTCACAGTTATACGACTCGGATTCGATAAAAACCCTCCGGTTGAATCGTTTCGTATATCCTCACCGGGACAAAGAGAGGGAGAGAGGAGGATCCATGGAGAAAATCGCGTCCTTAGACTCGCGTTGACGAAAACACGAATCCAAAGGGGAGGTGGGGTGGGTTGGGTAGCAAGGGGAAGCAAGAAGAACGGGCGGCGTTCTCGTTTAAGGGTCATAAAGCGCGACGACAAGGGCAGCTTTCGGGGCGAAGCAAAAAGTGAGCAATAAAATGTAAATGTACTCACATTCCTTGTTGCGATCCATGGCGTGTTGAAGCGGCGAGTCGTCGACCTCCGCCTTCGGCGGCGACTGATTACCCTCGGCCATCTCTGCGCCTGATCCTGGAACACCCGCGGTCTTCCTTCCTGCCACGTCCGCCGCTTTATCCTGCTGCGGCGAGGGCTTCGTGCCTTTCTTACCGTTTCCAGCGTCCCTGCGGGTCCGTGGCCGGACCGAAACGAGCAAAACGTGCCGTTTTGTGAATTAATCTTTCATACGTCGATACGTCGAGAATCGTGGTGCTGTGTCGTGTCGAGGTGGGACGAGGATCAAACGGAGAGAGAGAGAGAGAGAGAGCGCGCGGGAGAAGGAGGAGAAAAGGTGGAGAAGACGCCGGCAAAACGAGTGTCAATCGGTCCCGGGTCCATCGTCCAGCCGTGTTTTTGCCGATGATGAAGGAATGACGGATCAATCGACACTCGGGTCGAACCGGATGGACGTTTTCATCAGAAAGCGACGAAAACCGCTCTCTTCTCCTCTTCCTCGCTTAGCGGTGAACGAGTGACTGACCTCTTCCGAGAGATTCGGCAAGAAATTCCATCGGGATATTATTGTTTTCGTGGGGATATTCTGGTTTCGGAGGTTCTAGGTGACGTTAGCGGATCGATCGTTCGTGTTTTTCTTGTCAAACTTGGGTTTAGATGGTTTTGCCCGATGCAGAATAGTAACGGGTTAACCCTCGAACTGAAGACGTAGTACGCGTACTGTGTCAATGCTTTTCTGAGGAATTTGTTGTTATTATTGTTTCGGAATGCACAGCAGACCCTCGTGTAACAAAAATTGCGACTGTGTTCTTATAACGCGGTATAAGAGACTCGTAAACACGGCAAGTTCCCGTAATTCATGGTACATTACGTTATGTGGAAATTGTTTTACGATGGACATACTCTAAGAAAAAGCAACAGTATTCATAAATAAAGTTTGTCGCTGCATTAATGAAATATAGGATCCGATCGCCCTTCTGGCGAAGCTATTGGAAGAATCGAAATGATAAAATAATGTTTTACTGTCGGATCTCAAATATTCATTTTACATTCTACATAATAAACCCTCACACCTTTCATAAGTATACGTTTTCAAATGCGTATGCTCCATATTTGCATAAGCTATACGACTCGTACAACACGGAATATCTTGTACACTTGTTATACGGGGGTCCACTGTAATAAAGAAAGGGAAGAAAAATGTCAATGCGTTATTGTCTATGTCACGGAGATAAGAAGAGTATTCGTTACGGACCATTGCAGCATTCACCGAGCGAGGGTTAACATTTTTACAAATAGAAAAATTCGAGAGAAACGCTGAAAGTTGCATTTATATCAGAATTGAAATTTTTCATCTGGCAGTTACCTACGAAAAAAATCCCAAACTTCACCTATTTCTAACCGCCTCAGGGTGGTGAACACCCTTCAGCTTAGAAACGCTTCGATTTCCACACGCGAACTGCATCGAAACTACCCCAAAAGCATAGCGCAAACACCTACGGTCGTTACATTTATCACCACTCGAAGCAACGTCGACGTTGTTTCCACATTACCGCGAGACTATCCAATTAAAGTTTATCAGAAAACACGTACGTGGAGGCAGTTTGGTGCTTCCCAAGCAACTTTGTTACGATGCCTACGGCACAGCGCTATCTGCCCCTTTATTAAACGTTATTTACGTTACTACCGCGCGTCTCGTAAGCCTCCGCGTTCCGCGAGATGATTTAGCGCATCCGATAAGCCGCGATATAACATCGATACGCTTTATCTTTGGCTGGGAGCGCGCGAGGGAACCGTGGAATCCGCGATATTCAACGGGGAGGGTATCTCGAGGCGCTGGAGCGCGTAAAACCGGGTCATTCGACGCGGGGAACGCGCGTAAAATGCTCGGTGGAAGAGATAAGGGACGCGCGAAACCGTGGAAAGTTCAGATAAAATTACAGTTGAACGATGAAGTGTTTTAACGGAGTAGTACGAGAGAGAAACAGAGAAAGTTCTCGCCGCGCGAACGTGGTAGACAGAAGAGAAGGACGGTCGTTAAAACGTTTATAGGGAGGACCGACTGAAAGAAGCGCCGTTTTCACGGAGGTGGCCGTGACCACGCGATAGGAATAAGCTACGAAAGCGGGACGAGTTTGTGTTATCGAAGATTAACGGCGCAAGTAGACGTTAGACGTACGCCCTTAATACGAGTTGCTCTCGCTTTGCAGGGATCGTGGAAAAATTAACGTTCAAGCTTCCGGGTTTAAGCTGTGTCTTCCATCTTAGTCATCCTTTGAAAAATTCAAATGTTACTTAACGTAGTGTCACGTAAAATTTGTCTTTCTCTACTTTGCGCAATTTTGCTATGTAACGTGTTACGTTACAGCTTTACACCTGGAAGCCTCAACGCTGAAAACTGTTCGATACCAGGCAGTGAAAGCCTCGGGTATCTCCGATCGCCTCGAGAAGATAAGAGCCGCTAAGGTCAGTCACTCTAGGATTGTTATCATCGGGACCACGATACGAATACGAATGATCGACGCGTGCGTGTCGTTTATAGAGTAATCACCTCTCGTCTTTCGATTCTCGTCTGGCTTCCTTCCTGTCCCTCTCCTTCTCCTTCAGGCTGTCCGCCTTCTTCGCCTTGGACTTCGACTTGGGATCACCTTTGGCGACCTTGTGCTCAAGGACAGCGCTGGTGTCGGCTGCCACGATGCCCTCGCTGTTCAACTGACCGGCGGAAGTACTCGACGTAGATGATGTCGAGGCACGGGTGTTAGTATAGTCCTGCACGAGGAGCGCACCTCGTTATCCGGGGGATTCGTTCAAGGTCGCTGGAAGGCCACCGATCGCGACTTCACGGGGGAGACGGTTAGAGGGACATGGCAGCTTACCTTAAACCACTCCGGGTATATCGCGCTGATGGTGTCCAGAAGATCCTGATCGAGCTGAATCCTCCAGAACGGGGAGCCGCTGTCCAACCTGTGGCCAGACTCTGTAACAGCATCCAACGAACGCACGGTGAAAAATGGGATAAAAACGACACCTACGATTTTAATTACACTCGGTCGGACCGTTAACAGTCTCGAAACGATAAAAATTCAGTTCGATCTTTTTACGAACTTCTCAGCATCGCGTAGAGCATTGGACTCGATCGAGAAGAATGAACCGGTGATAAATCCTATCGGACGCAGTATGCTCCCTCAATCGACGCGTCTTCTCGTTCTATCGCGAAACGCGGCCAATAAAATGCTGCGATCGTGTGCGTGTGTAGAGGAAGGAGACAAAGGAAGAGAGAGAGATAGGAATGGTGAAGTTTTTCTGACAATTCTATCGAACGCGGATCGTCGCGGATCGGCGACCTCATCGATCAACAGGACGAATTCAACGGACGATTAAATATAGGATTTAGAGTGTGCAACCGGGTACGACCCACCGCGCGAAGGCTGACCGGTTAGGCCCCGAGGAGTCATTCCCACCGCATAAGGGCTAATGGTACCCCCGACGAGCAATACGCCCGAAGGCGTATCAAAACCTCGCGGAATGCCGGCCCCTTCGTTTCTTTCGTGGATTCCACGGGATTCCCTGCCTAATTTAAACGTTCGTCCCTGCCGGTCTCTCGGCTCGAAGGGATCACCTCTTGGACACGAACCAGACGAAGGACGAGAAATCTGTCCCTGTTCCGCTACCCGCTGCCCGTTTCGTTTCATCGCCGCACCGCTCGTAACAGTGGGGAACGCGAAGGAACAGCCCGAGGGGGAAGGTGAAACGGGGGAGGGGTGGAACACCTCGTTACGACGACATTCTACGGGCGAGACGCGTGCCCTGCCTTCGTGATCGAGCCACGAATCGGCCAGACGGAGGAGCAAACGGTCGAGACTCTTAAGTAACCGATTGGGAAAAACACGGTTTTCTGTTTGGGGGACCTTCGTTAAACGACAACGCGGTTGACGTGGGTGATGATGGTCTATTGTTCGCAGAGATATCGCCGATCGGTGTTCTGGATTGCTAATTGTTCTACAGTTTGCAGTCGAGGATCCTGATGGAGAATCCTAACACTTTCGTTGCTATTGGCGCCTGTTGGAGCTTTTTCCTGTAATTCCACCTTAGTTCGATACTTCATTTTATCCTTTACGCACTTTCACTGTAATTTAATAAACCGGATTTTGAAACAACGTGGAAACAAAAGTTAGGTGTTAAAATCTGCCGCAGCGGAAGGGTTAAGTGACACGGTTTTTCCATTTGGAAAACTTCGTTAAACGACGACATGAAACATTAAAGGCATTTCTGTCATATAGGCGATAGCCTGATGGATATTCTAGATACACTCTTAATATCAGATTAGTAGCAAACTGCTCTACAACCTGCTATACATCGTTCAAAATAAGAGTAACCTCGTTTCGCGCATGGGACGTGCCTAAGGCTAGAACCACTTACCCTCTGCTACGCTCTCTGTCTATACGCAGAACGGACGGGAATCGGTCCGAGAGCGAGGTTATTCTTATTTCGAACGATGTATAGTCAATTACATCCTTCGTATTCCTTTACTCTCGGTGGTCCCATACGGATCCAACCAGGAAGTACACCTACGTTAAACCACACACTCAAGTGTATATCGGTGGGCTACGAAAACAGGCCAGTTTTAGCGATCGGACAGGAGAACGACGTCCCTATCGACAAAGAGTAGGTTTCACCTTAACCCAATAAGTGATTAGTGGGCCGGCTGTGCCAGGAGAGCGGAATAAATGGTCAATCAGTATGCGCGCGTCGGACAATCCGCTGTAAATCACGCCGTGAATCATTCGTCGACATAAATCTAGTCTCCCATACGGTGATCAATGCGATCCGGACCGGTCCCGGACACATTAGTCGAACGTTGTGCACGCGGTCGTTTACGGGACACGCATCGCGAGGGGCGAGGTTCCTCGGAATCTCTCTGGTTCGAGCGTAAAAACCGACGGCAACGGCCTAATAGCGCCGATTCGAGGGGAGGCTGTATCGGAAACGATACATCACCGCTCGATCGCCGATCCCCCGATCGGATAACACGGCGAAACAGCCTTCTCTCGCCGGTTCGACTGTTGCTTTCGGTTAACGACACCTTTCACGGCTGCGTCACCG